ATTGCTACGGGGTTGCTCGGTATAGGAGTCCGTACACCTATGGACGAAGGGGTCCCCGTGCCATTGTAAAAATGGATGAGGAGTTCTTTATGAATTGGTATGGAAATATCTCCAAGATACGAAAGCCGAAGTGCATTAAAATGTACACGATATACCATCTGTATGAGAAAGAAAGACATTAAAATTCTCTCAAAGGATAAGGAGAAATTTGAGAACAGTGAATATCTGTTTTGGGTGAGAAGTGGATTTTTCAGTTTTAACTTTTGTATCCTTTTTGATATTTTGATGTTTACCTATTCTAAAGTTCAGTTGAAATCAGTTGCCAGTCATTCAAAATTAAGACAGTCAAGAGAAAGAACTAGATTTCCAGTTTCTCTTCAAAAACTGGGCTATCGGGCAATGATGAGCTAAAGCTGAGCCCCTTTAGAGGGGCCGTGCTCTCCAGGTGTCTCTTGTATCCAAAATGTTTCACTAATTTATCTTACCTGCCCGGCCCCTGTGGTATTTGCATTTGAGACTCTTGGACCCATGGGGAAGTTATCCCCAGGACATGGGGCGGGTGGAGTGTGGCAGCTGCATGGTCATTACAGGTCAAGCAACTGGCAGACTAGCAAGCATTTCCATGCCCCAATTCCAAGTTCCACTGGGACAGAGGTGGGGTCTCACTATAGAAGTGTGTGCTTGGGAGTGACTGATACCCAGTCAAAGACATCATAAGGAAACTACAGACCAATATCTCTTATGAATATAGATGCAAGAGTCCCTGACATATTAGCAGACCGAGTCCAGCAACATACAGAAAGGATTATACACCACGGCCAGGTGGGAGCTGTCCTACGAATGCAAGGTTGGTTTAACATCTGAAAGTCAACCAATGTGACACTGAATAAAAATCCAAACCCATGCGATCACTTCAATATGATGCAGAAAAAGCATCTGACAAAATGCAACGTCCATTCATGATAAAAGCTCTTCCTCCTGGAGTGGAAAGGGGAGTTTGCAGAGAGGAGGGTTGGAGGCTAGGCAGACACACCCCAAAGGTGTCTACTTACAGGATTACTCACTCTCTGGAGAAGATTCATTGACCTAGGCAGCTGGAGGCACCAAGGCATTTTTCCTCCCCATCTTAAAGCAAAACCCCACTTTGTCTTGTCAAGAGCATCTTGGGGTTGGGGAAGATTCAGAGTGATTCTGACTCCAGCAGCTGTCACAGAATTTCCTCCGTGAGTCTCGTGGGCTTGCTGTGGATTCAGAAGCATCAATAATCAATAATCATCAATAATCGTCAGCTGGATGCATTTCAGGCTTGTGAGCTGCTGGGGAGGGGCAGCGGGTCGGAGGCTTGCCTCTGACTTCTCCACCGGGACTTTGGTGAGTACGCTCTGCTGGCTATACATGACTCAAGTCTGAGGAAGGAGTTAAGGAGGGGACGGAAGCAGACGAATTTATTTGGTCGGGAGAAACATATGTTCCCCCTGAAGCGTCAAGCCAGACCAGCCTGGTGCTGGAGGCAGTCCCTTAACCCGGAAGGACTCTCATTGGGTCTTCCAGGGAGCCGCTCCGTTATAAATGTAACATTCAGCATCTTATCGGTGCCTCTGTTCAGGGAGAGGTTGGCTTGAGGCATAGGAGACGGACGAAGTCTGGAGGGGCGCCCCCAGAGCAAGGTACGTGCTTTTCTTCTGTTGGCATACCTAAGAGCTGAGCGGGGCTGCAGTGGTGACCCTGGCCAGGGAAGAAGGGTTGTCCGTTCAGGCCTGCGGTCTCGTTGCCTCTGCTGAGCCTTGAGACACTAAGGCATTCGCTTGCATACGTATGATTGTTTTCTACACATAGGTTGCATCATTGAGTATAGAGATGGGATGCCCTAGGCTGTCTCACACGAACAGGTGTTTGTTGAATGAGAGAAATAGAAAAAATGGTTTTATACAGGAAACCAAGGGTAGCAAATACCTTGATCAGGGGAAGGCTCACACAGTAGCCCATATGTCTTTAAAACAGTGGTCTGTCTTGGCTGAACATTGCAATCAGCTGGGTCACTCCCAGACCAGTTACAAGAGTCCCTGGGACAGGTTTTGATGTTCCCCCAGGTGACTTCAGTATGCGTTGGGGCTGGAGATCAATACTTTCAAAGAATGCAGTCAAGGGATTTTCAAGGATTTTCTTCCGTTTTCTATACTGCATGAGGTTTCATTTGAAAAGTAGAGTGGCCTCCACGTCCATCTCACACCTTCCTGAGTGTGGTGTGGGGCTGGGTTTGAGTTGGTTTCCGGTTTGGGTTTCGATTCCACCCCAGCTCCAGAGATGGATGCAGACCAACCTAAGCCAATCAAGATAAGTGATTCTAGCTCAGTGACTAAGGTAGCTCTGGCCTAAGCCCACCAGCTGCAGGAAATAGTTCTGGAATGGCCTAATTGGCTCTGAGTTCAGGACTCTTGTTCATTAGTGAGGGAAGGGAAACCTCTCGGGGAAGGTAAATGGAAGCACCCCACGAATACCAGGATAAAGATGGCCATGTACGTGTCAGGACATGGGACCTGAGCCCTTGCTGATGTCACTGAGGAGCCCGCCCCTACTCAGGCACAGCCAGTTACCTGTGTGTTCCTTTTATTAAGCCCAGTCCACGCTGGAGTTCCTGTTACCTGCCAGGAAGATTCTTATTTCATAAAAAAGGGAGTCTAAAGCTGGGCAAGGGAATCACAAAGACTTCATCCCCTGAGAAGCACTCTGAGCCACTACCCAGCCTGGGGCCATCTCAAGTCCTTAGTCGTTGCCACCAGCATGCATTACGTAACACAAGTCACACTGAGACATAAGGCCTGAGCCAAGGAGAAAGTCTCATTTTGGTGCCAGTATGCCCTGAACCCAAGTGTTCTTTTTAACAAACAGCAAGTCTCAGGCTCACAGCTTTCAGCAATTACAGGTGGCAAAAATTTAGGATGTTTTGTCTATATGTTTTATGGATACCTTCATTAGTGGCAAATCGTGCTGGTGTCCTTTTTTTTGGAACACAGTTTTCCATTTTTAAAAAGGGGAGTTGGAATACACTAGAACATAGAAACATAGTTTCCCATTTTTAAAAAGGGAGTTGGAATACACTAGAACATAGAAACAGAGTTTCCCATTTTTAAAAAGGGGAGTTGGAATACACTAAGTATGTAAGAATTGTTAGGCAGATGTGGCAAAAATGAAGAAGATGGCAGTGAGTATAGTTTGGAATTGCTGTGTCAGGGAAAGCATGTGTTGGTTTAGAGACTGGGGCTCATGTGACTTTGCATTCATAGCAGAGAAAGCCTCCTTATGAAGCCAGTCTTTTGCCAAGATCAAGGCTGCATGGTGTGGTTGGGAATTCCAGTGGCTGTGCTCAGCCTGGGTCCAAGTTGGCAGCTTCCCTTCTGCCAGCGGGGACGTTCGCGTCTCTGAACCTTTGTGTCCTGAAGCATGGAGCTAATACTCCCTTTACAGGACTTTTACTTGGCAGAGTTGGAGGGCTGGGGCAGGACTGTTTTGAGGACTCAAATTATCTTGGAATCTAGTGCCCTACAGCTAGGCCCAGGAACACCCAGTGGTGTTCTAAAAGTACTTGAGTAAATACGTACTCAGATGTGCCCTGAGCTCCAGGCAGTTTTTAAAACAATATCCTCCCACTCCTAGGAAAGGTGTAGTCACTCCTCTGGCCTGGATGTCCCCTCCTAGGAGGATAGGGCTGTTTGAGCCATTCTTGGCTCTTTCTTCCTGGGGAAGCCCATATGGCTCTGCTGGCAGATGCAACCACCAGCAGACCATGCAGCAAACAGTCTCCAAGGCAGGGTCTTTACTTTTAATCCCTAGACCCTCAGATGGCTGCTTCACCAACACAGCTGTCACATTCTGCTCCAATCTAGATAGATGGCAGCCAATATAGCGTTCACAAGCACACTGGGAAAGCCCTTTTATTTCTAGCCTCTTGCTTTATCAATTTCCAAAAAGTCAACAATTTGCTTATTAGGACATCCATTTTGCTTCACGTAGTAGGAAGGCATTAATAAAGGTACAGCAAGATTTTTATTGCAAAAACCAGTTTAGGTTTGAATGGCCATACCTCTAACGGGTGTGGGGGAACGGGTTGGTTTCTATCACAGATGCACATTGTATTCTGAAACACACGTATTTGCAAAAACTCATTTAAATTGAGCAGAAAATCCTGCCCTTTATTCCATTCATAGAGCATCTGTCCTGGAAATGACTATGGACCAACCTTCCCATGTCCTTAATTGGAGTACACGGAAATTGTGACTTAAAAGGATTTTTCAGGACATAACCACTTTCACCTTATATGCTGATTTTTGAACAAAGCCCCCAAGTTGTAGTTCCACTAGATTCCTTAGTAATACTTTCCATCATCCTAACTACGTGGTTCTCAAGCTCCAATGGTATATATATAACCACCTGGCAATAACTTGGGGCCCCTTCTGGAGGGTTTGGTGCAGGCAGCCTGCAGTCAGTGGAGGGGAACCACCCCCTCTATGTGGCAGACTCACTAGACAAAAACAAGTTTAATGTCTCATACCGAAGTCTTTTAGACAGTGTGCTCCCTAAATCTTTGCTGTATCGTTAGTTTTCAGATCTGGCACTCATCCTCTTCAGAAAGTGTGCATTTTTACAAATGGGCAGGCATTCGGACCAAACTTTAGGGCAATAAAAAGGGCAGATCCTCTTCGTTTGGATCTTAAGAGGGGACAAAGGGCTGTTTGACAGACTCTGTAACTGCTTAATGATGGAACCAAAGATGGGACAAAGACAATGCTTTGATGTGCCGAGAAGGGAAACCACAGTGCTAGTCAGTCTGCCTCTGGAACTCCCGACCACTAGAGAATTTCAAGGGCAAAAAAGTTCTCTGGAATTGTTTTTAAGAAAAACCTACAGAATTTTTCAATCTAAAGTTATATTCTCTAATTAGGTGGCAGTTTGCCACAGCTTTTATTTCCAGGTTATTCCAAAAGCAAACAATAGCAACGATATTCTTTGAAAATGGCTTTTATTGAGACACTTTTAGGGCTCTTCAACATTTCCAGTTGGGAATCTTCATTTCCAATTCTCAGGTGGCCATTTCTGAATGCCAATAAGGTCCACTCCCACCTAAGCGAGGCAGCATACTCGTCTGTCTGCTCAAACGTGTAAGCAGGGGAGCCCACTATTCTACCCAGTCTCTCATCAGTGCTCCAGGAGGGCTGTAAGCCCAGGCCCCAGGCCACGTTCCCACCTGTTCACGAGGCAGAGTAATTTCAAAATAAATGTGAGATGGCTTAAATTCAGCTGGTGTTACTATCCTCAAGTAAGAGAAACCTTCTCAATACGTTTTCCTGATTTCGTATTTGGGGACATCCTGTCCTAAATATTAGCTGGTGTCCATAGAATTTGTAACTTAACTGTGTAAAAATCAAAAAGCTCCACACCAGCCCCTAACACCTTAAAGATTCTATTCCTACGCTTTCTCCTGTATTTTGAGTAGCATGACATTTAAAGTGGGGGGGCTGGTCAAATTTCTACTCTCAGGTAACAAAAGCATTATCAAGACGAATCTTTTGGAGTGTCTTAGAAATTATGGAAACCAGCTACTTCAGAACTCTAGGCCAATGTCGAGAGGTGACTGACCAGCCTCTGCTGTCTGCAAGGATCAGCTAATCCCACCATTGTTACAACAGCTGAAAACACTGGCCTAACTTGGCCTCCTCTTAACTTCCCGTTCTTCCTATGAGTTGCTCTTGGGGATCTATGCGTAGTAAAAACATACCAGCTCCTTCCATCTTGAAAGCCCTCCAAATGTGTCATCTCCAAAGCCTTTTTCTTAATAGCAAGATGGTCAAGAGTTATAACGAGAGAGAGTAGTTGCCTGTTTAGTACAATTGTTCCCATTATAAGGTGAAAACTAACATTTACTTCATTCAGAAGAAAGAACACCAAGGCATTAAGATTCTGCTTGCAAATTAATGCCAATTTATGTTTACATCCTTTTATCAAGACATTTACATATATATGCAGGCTCTGCTCCTTAACAAAAGGGGAACTGAAAAACTCAAGGATGTTTATTTTAGCAGTTAAAAGGGAAGACAAAACCGAAGGAATCTGTAACAGGTGCCTCGAGAGAGAAAGCATCCTTTATGCCAATGGCAGATCTTGGTCTCCACAAGGTTCCTCAGTGGCTGTGGTTTCCATCTCTGATGAAAGAGCCATGGCATCAACTGGCACAAGACATAATGGACACATAGGACTGTAATGTGTAATAAAGCAAATATTTACATTAAGCACAATACAGCAATTTATTTAGATGCTTAAAATGAATACAAAGGGAAATAAAGATCACGAAATTATACATACTACAACAGTGTGTCATATATTAGATGGTATAAATGAATACACCAGGTGGTGTTTAACTAAAGATAAAACTAAATATCCAAAACGCAGCACTCATTGGTTGGCTGCCTCAACACAACACACTTCCATACAGATCTAAAAGGTGTCAAAATTAGTAGCTGCAAAGTCAATTCTTGCATGTGATTTTAGCTTAAAAGATTTCAGAAAACAGATCTGAAATACCAGTTTTTGTTTTGTCAGCTGTACTGTCAAGGATATTCAGAACAAGAAAAAATCTATAATACAAGAGAGTCCAGATATATATCTTATGTGGCTGGCCTCTGTTGCAAGATTGTACAAGGTTATGTGCAAAAACTAAATCTGTCCAAAAGTTCATACTAGCGTAATTTCAAGCTTTTGCTAGGTAAACTAGATGTAGCGTTTATTACACAGCAAGGGCAACACTAAAAAAAAATCTATGATGGGTACACAATAACAATATCATAAGCATCACTTGAATAGGTCTAAAAGACTGTACAAATATACATTTCAACTATTCAGAATGAATACATGAAAAAAAATCAATTTTCCCCAAAGTCTACTATACACATTGGATTGGTAGCTCATATGTTGGCCCTACACTACCATGTGAATCGGGTAACACTTCTCAAAGACATCCAACCAAACATTTTACAGAGGGAAAGAAATGTTGAGAAGGCAGATAAAATAAATCACTGCTTTTCCCCGTGTGCATTCGTGAGCCACCAGCTTATTGGTTTTTCACATTTAGTTACTGCATCTGTCACAGCAAGTTCTGAAGCAAGATCAGCCAATCATGTGTCATGGAAATAACCACTGGGGACGCAGTGGCCACATGTCCCTAGAGCCTGATGATCCAGCACTCAGAAGGCAGTACCAGTCAGAATATAGCTTTGCAGTCATACTAAGAGCAGAGCAGAGTTCCAGGCTGCATTTTGTCACCGATGCCAGAGAATCTGGCACTCATGCCTGTTGGCTGCTCAGTTTAACTCCGGTTAAGCTGCCATGCATTGGCTCAGCTACTCCATCAGTCATATTGTCAAACTGCTCCCCATCCTCACTGTCAATTGTGCTATTCTGCCACTCAATCTGTGGGTTAGATAAGCGCTCATCATTTTCAGATGCATTCTTCCACTGAGACTGGTCCTTGGACCAAAACCCTTCAACTTTTCCATAGGAACTATTCTTCCATTTCAACTGCTCTCTGTCACCTTGCATGGTAGCCTTTTTTTTGGCAGCTGGCTTACTGCTCCTTGCATCTTCACTCTGGGAAGACTCATCAGACCAGGTTCCTGGTTTCATTTCACATGTGTTGTCCTCAAAGTCTGACATTTGTTGGGAACCAGGGCCACTCTCAGATGGAGAAGCACCATCTTTCCACTCAACAACATCATCTTGGTCAACCTCACTATCGGAAGCATCAGGCATCAGTTTGGTTGGTTCCTCAGTCAAATGAAGAGTTTCGTATTTTGAACCATCCTCTTCTTTTTGGTCTAGCTTCTCAGGTTCTAAAGCATCCTCAGAAATTACCTTCGGTATGTGCTCCTCTGGATTATCATTAGGGATTTTAGGCTCAACTTCAAAAACAGGCTCAAAAGGGCTACCACTTCCATTGGATTCTTCTTCCAAATTTTCAAAACTGTCTGAGGAACTGTCATCCTCCTTCCCAAGGTTGAGCTTTTTGTCAGCAGTTTTACTAGCATTGACTCTGGAATCTTTCTCGTCATGATTTTCAAATAGCCATTCAGCATCAAAATCCATCTCATGCTTAACTTTGTTTAATTCTTTCATGTTGAAGCCCAGTAGCACACCAGGCTTGTACTTCTCACAGTCTCTGACACACTTCTTCCTCTTGTTACTAAAATGGGAAGCAATATCACTCTTCCACAACCATAAACTGGCTGCCAGCTTCTCAATTTCTCTCCTGGTGGGATAGGGCTGTTTGTTGAAATACTTTGTTAGGAAGCTTTTCCTGGCTTCATAGGAATCATCTTCATGACCCTTGGGGTCTAAAGCTAAAACAACAGGCTCCTCAGGCTTCTCTTCAAAGAAGCTGGGTGAATCGCTATCATCATCTAACTTCCGCTTTTTCAGCAAAGGGAACTCCACTTGCTCGTAAGTGCGCTTCACAGGTGCCAGTCCCGGTGACTGATTAAGCCGAGAGGGAGCATTTGTCTTATCCTGGCCGTTCTGAGTCTTTCCAACGCCCCTGCAGTGAACGAGGTGCAGAGTAATAGTCGAGGCGGTCATGTTGCTGGTATACACACCAAGGCAATGGATACATTTGTAAGTGAGCTTTTTCTCCACTGGATGAACCGTCTGAATAACCTGGTGCCTCTCTCTTAAGTGATGTGCAAGTGCATCAGATATGGGTCCTTTCAGGATTGAAAAACAAAGAGGGCAAAGGGTTTTCCCGACATCTTTTTTATAGGGCACTGCAGCTTGAGGTGAACTTTTAACAGGGATATCTGCTTTTTCCTGAACTTTTGGCTGTGGCTTTGGAGGGACCGGAGGGTTATTTTGGGCATGGTAAGCGACAGATTCGGCTGGGGCATCCCTCAGGTTGTACGTGGTTACAAGGAGATGGATGTTAGTGTGACTACCCTGCTGCAATGTCAAATCAAAACTCAAAGTAGAATCTGTTTTAGGTCCCATCTCTTCATCAATGTGAACCATCCTCATGTGTGCTGCCATCTTTTCCACATCGTTGAAAGTTGAACGGCAATACGGACAAGACAGACCATGAATTAACATATGGTTGAGCAGAGTATCTGTGGGCAAATAGCGATTACAGTAGAGGCATTTGCTAGTAAAATTATGTATTTTCATAATGTAGTTGGCTACTGCTGGAACTTTTTCAGCTTTATGTTCTTTTTCGAAGTGCACACTATAGACATTTTCAGGAAAAAGCTCATTACAGATCGTGCATATTTTCCACTTCTGAGTTGAGGAAGTATTAGCTGGGGGAGGGCCCGTGGCAGCTGCAGGAGGTTTGGAACTGGACTGACCTAATACTCTGGATGCCTGTGACTGCGAGAGGGAAGGAGACTTTAACTGGCCTGACGGGAGAGAGGAGGCATTGGCGGACTGCAGGGAGTATCTTGCTGGTGCCTGGGACCTCTGCTCTGACCCCAGCCCATAAGATCTTCCATTTCCACTGGGAAGTAACTGCTTCACAGACTGAGACTGCTGAGGGATGGAAACTGGTGGGCTGCCACCTAGACCCAGTCTCATTGACTGGCCAACGCCATAGCCCTGGCCTACAGATTTGACGCCATAGTTGTTCTGCTGCAGGTGAACACTGGACATCATGTTGACGCCTGTCGAATTTAAGTTAGGCTTTGGTATTGAGAGTCGATTCACCATCTGCTGTGACGGCAAAGACCGGACGTTTCCAGAAGCAAGGGAACCAATTCTCGACTGGAGTCCCATGCCCTTCTTCTCTTGAGGTTTAGGAGCAATTAGCATCAAAGGTTTGGTTCGGGGAACTACCACATTTGTGTGCCCGATCATGGCAGTGACCTGATAGCCTATGCGTTCGTGGTCTTCGATGACATGTTGTACCAAAGCTTCGTAGGACTTTGGCATAAAAAGGCATCGCTTGCAGTGAATACTACCTTCTTCCCGGGCATTTGAGCCTAAGGGGACAGCACCATTGAGTGATTTTTCACCTGCCTTTGCTATGTAGGGTGCTGCCACATGCTGAAAATGTTCCCTGTAAATGTGCTTCCTAACTATTTCGTAGACAGGATCTCGGTAAGTGCACTTCTTACAGTAATAAACAGCTTGCTCTATGTTGTCAGCCTGCTTAGGTTTAAGGCCATCATTCTTGCTTTTATCTTTGAAAGTGCTGAGGCTGCTACTTGGTGCGCTGGCGTTTGGAGCATGAAATATTTTAATGTGTGTTTCCAAAGTCTTTTTGTCTGCATTGAAGGTACAGTAGGGACAATTAAGGAGAATCCTATTTTCAAAGTCTTCACTATGGACATTCCGGAAATGACTTTTGTAGGCAGAGAAGAATTTTGAAGAAAATGGACAAGCGCTGCAGCAAAAAGGTTTTGTCCGATAGTCCTAAAGAAAAGACAAAAACTGGAATCAGAATGCCACTTCAGATAGGCAATAACAGGTTCTAGGTTTTTGTCCAGTCTCTATTTTTAATAGACACATTATTTTTAGAACTGAAACTTTAACACCTTGATTTTTTCTTTTGCGAAATACATTTATGAAATATAAACTCAATTGAAAAAGCTGTTCTAAACTAAATACTTCTGAGTTCCACAGTATAAATAAAAAACTCAGTAAGTTCTTCTCAATGTTTATAAAAGACCAGAGTGACATTTGCTGACTGGCTTTAGACAAACCAAAGATAAATGGTTTCAAGACAAACATTCTACAGTTAGAAATGACAAGAATAAACTATATGTAAATACTTTCACCCAGTGAATTAGTAAGGCTTCTTCAGATTTACTATATAGCAAAATTTAGGGCCCAGTATGCTGCAGTTCAATTAGGCAACCAAATATAAAGATACACCTTTTATCCTTCCCATCATGGAAAAATTTTCATAGAAAAAAGATCTTCAAAAATCTCAAACATATTTTTCCTCTGATTGAAGTCCAGTGTAGTATTCAGAGTTCATTGCTGATCAAAAAACTACTGATTTGAAAAGCAGGCTTTCTTCTACAAGCCATGCTGTTCCTTCTCAAACAAGAGCAGCTACAAAAGCAGTAATGAAGTAATGCTTTGATTCAAATTAAGAAGTTAAATAAAAAATGTCGTACAGACTGTGAAGAGTGCATGGTGTTAAAAAACCTTTAAAACACTGCAAAATATCCTGGTATCAAGAGCGACATCCAGAATCATGCTCATCCCTATTTGTGTAGTTGGTCCTTTGATAAAGACAGGTGAAACACAAGGTTGGCCAGAGATGACCATTTTTCTCTAGAAACCTACTTTGTTTTAGATACTGGTTTGAATAAAAATGAAATACTCTGCTTAAAGCTCAACCCTTCTTTAGCGTTAGAATAGAGACTGTGGGATTCATAAAATTGAATAATGTGTCCCACTAGTAAGCTTTTGTATTCTAAGACTGTTGGTGATACCTTTTCCTGGGGTATAGATAACCATTTCTGAGGTAGAGTTTAAAAAGTACTAATTCCCTGCCAAGTATGTTCTGATAGATGAACAGATCAATAATCCAGAATTATAATCACTACTGCAAAGGTAACAGTAAAGTTTGAACTGACAATCACTTCTCCCTGTGGAAAAGGAAATGCCACCTACTAACTATCTGTCACATCTTCACCGAACGATACCTGTTCGCACTGCTGATACTTCAGACTATCTAATATTATTTTTAATTGTAATTTGTAAAAATTTAAGTTACACTTCTGTCACTGCTATCCTGAAGAGCTACCAACTCCCTCCCCTGTGTGCTGGCTTAGGTCCACCACGGGGGCTGGGTGACATCAACATAGTGGAACAAGAAAACGTTAACGAGAGAAAAAACGTGGTCTTCCTCTCTCTAGAAAAAACAAAGATTGCAATGTACACACAGAAAAATGTATAACCTAGATGAACAGAATGCTGGAGGGAACATTTTAGGAACAGATGAGCCAAAGTACTTTTTTGGGGGGCAGAGGGCACGCTGTTATACAATGGGCTTCAGAACTTCTAAGTAACAATTTCTAATTTTTACACTTGAAGTTTTAGTCCTATGACAAAAGACACAAAATTCTTCCTAGTTTTCCCTACCACTTAAGAAAATATGAAATACAATCATGTGTTGCTTAATAAGAGGGATACATTCGGAGAAATGCGTTCTTACGTGATTTCACTGTTGTGCTAACATAAGAATGCATTTACACAAACCTAGATGGTCTAGCCTACTACACACCTAGGCTACATGGCATATAATCCTGTTGCTCCTAGGCTACAAGCCTGTACATCATGTTATTATACTGAATACTATAGGCAACTGTCACACAATGGTTAGGTATTATGTATCTAAACACAGACTAGGTATAATAAAAATAAAGTATAAGAGATAAATGGTACACCTGTATAGAACACTTACCGTGAATGGAGCTTGCAGGACTGGAAGCTGCTCTGGGTGAATCAGTGAATGAATGTGAAGGCCTAGGACATTATACTACTGTATAACCTATAAAACACTGTACACTTAGGCTTCACTAAATTTATTAAAATTTTTTCTATAATAAAGTAACCTTAGCTTACTGTAAGTTTTAAAAAACTTTGACTCTAGTAACACTTAGCTTAAAACAAATACATTGTATAGCTGTATAAAAGTTTTTTCTTTATATCCTTATAAGTTTTCCATTTAACTTTTTAAAAAACTTTTTAAACTTCTGTTAATGAAGACATCTATCAGCTAAGGCCTACACAGGGTCAGATCATCAGTATCACTGTCTTTCATCTCTATCTACATTTTGTCCCACTGGTAGGTCTTCAGGGGCAATACGAGGCATGGAGCCATCATTCCCTACAATAACAATGTGTTCTCCTGAATACCTCCTGAAGGACTTGCCTGAGGCTCTTCTTGAGGAAGTATCTGTCCTTCCAGAAATATATCCATGATGATTTGCTTCTTCCTTTCATCATAGATTTGCTTCTAAGCAGATAATGCGCCACCCCTCCCTTTCTACTAATGAAAACTTTTCCTTGTTCAGGTCTGTGTTTTCAAACTTTTTAAGGAGCTTATTGAGGTTTGTAAAAGCTTCTGCCAGCCCTTTGCTGTGAATTTGCTTGGGGGTTTCTTTTTCTTCTGCAGTTTCCTTGTCTCTTGCATTTTCTTTGGCTAAGTGTTCCTGTTCCAATTTTAACAATTCATTAGTCAATTCCTCAGGAACCACCTCTAGGAGCTCCTCAATGTCATCCTCATCCACACTCAGGTTAAAGTTATTTGCCATCTCAGCCACAGGTGTGTTGATTTTTGCCCTTCCCCATCCTTGGCAAATCCTCTTAAGTCTCGGACAAACCTCCTGAGTGTCTTCTTGATGTCTTTCATACATTCCTTGGTGTTATCACCTCAAGCCCAAGCAAGGTGCTTATGCAGTGACAGATACTGCATATCTTCCAGAATTGCATTCAGTGTCTTCCTCAGCTGCAGCAATAGCCTGGGAAAAGGTCCTCAGGCAGTAGGCTTTTAAAAACTGTTTGATTCATTGGCTGGATCCAAGAGGTGGTATTTGGAGGAAGCAGCATTACTTAATATTAGGATGAAAATCACCAATAAAAGGAGGATGTCTGGGAGCATTATCAACAACAAGCAAAATCTTGAAAGGTATGTTATTCCCCAAACAGTATTCCATTTCACTGGTGGAGCAACTCAGGGAGGGCATCCTGGAAGAGGAGCAGGGTCATCCACGACTTCTTATTGCTCCTGTAGTACACTGCCAATGTGTTTGATATGCTCGAAGACCCCGAGGTTCCCACTGTGCAAGATTACAAAAGGGTTTCAATTTATAGCCTGCAACACTGCCCCCAAGTGAGACTGTTATCCTGTCCTTGAAAGCCTTGAAACCTGGCACTGACTCGGTCTCTTTATGGATGAAAGTCCTTTCAGACATCCCTTTCCAGAATCGGGAAGTTTCATCCATAGAGAGTATTTGCTCTGGCAAGTAATTTTCCTCTATAATCAGCTTATCTAGAGTTTCCAAAAATTCTTTAGCTGCCTTGACATCATTCTTGAATCCTTTAAACCACCCAGAGCTAGCAGTAAATTCAACACTGTCGTTGGGTCTAGCCTTTTCTTTCAACATCACAAACATTTTGCTTTGGCAGTGATCATCATGGTGCTGAGCTATATGCTTCTATGTCTGGTCTTCAGTCCAGGTCATTAGAAGTGTCTCCAGTTTGATATAGACCCTTTAAAACTCTGTTGGTCTCATTGCCTTCAATGAAGTTGATCCTTTAACAGCTTCCATCACTTTGTTCTTATTCTTTAAGATCGTAGCTATGGTGGAATGGGACATGTCTGACTGACTGCTAAGCAATAATAACCGTCACTGATTTTCCACCTTTGTAGTCCTAACACTCTCAATTTCGTTTCCAGGTCAATCACTCGATATGACCTCTTATGGTCAACATTAGCTGTGGATTTTGTACACTTAGGGGCCATGATAAACAAAACATGAGATTAAACCAAGCACAAGAGAAAATGATGCAATCAAGAGACATGGCAGAGGTATGAAACTGCTCCTGACATGGCATACTCTTTTACAGCAAACTTTTTTATGTAAGTAGAAAGAGTACATTCTCAAATAATGATAAAAGTAAAACAGTAAACATATAAAACAGTAAAGTACTCATTATTATCAAAATTACACTGCAATTATATATGCTATACTTTTATAAGACTGGCAGCATATTTGTTTACACTAGCATCACCACAAATGATAGCACATGTTATATTACTCTTATGACAGCTTCAACATCACTAGGTAATAAAAAATTTTCAGCTCCATTATAATCTCATGAGACCACTATTGTACATTTGGTCCATTGTTGACAAAACAGTAATGTGGCACATGACTGTAATCAGTTTTGACAATTTCCACGTTAGGTTGTTGACTACAAACAATCTACCACTATGAAAGGCCTAGAGCTGAAAAGGGAGTATACCAAGGATGCTACCATTTGGGGAAGTCTCCTGTGCCACTTACCTGGTTTTTTGTAAGTGAAGGGTCCCACAGTCCTACATCCTCCCATGTAGTGTTTTTCAAATAAAAGTCATTAGGTTCAAACTGTTTAAAATCCTAGAAAACAGTGAAAAAAGTTTACAAAAACATAGTGGTATCAACTCTAGCCCAACCTTACACCTATAACCTATATTTTAATTAGGGCTGGAGTGATGCGCTGGAAAGCCAATCCCACCAAAAACAACTAGGAGCCGTAATGCTCTTAGGAAATACAAAAAAGGTATATAGAAGTTGTACTGGATGTTTTATATCAACCAAACATTCTCCTAATGTTCAGCCAGGTTTCCAAGGAAAACGCTGAAAGTTCTAATTAAATAAAAAATGTAGACACATATGAATACCAAAGTACCCAACACCAAAGTCATTAGAGTGTTGTAATTCATCAGTTGTAGTATTAGAATGGAGTGTAATGCTCACTTCCAGCATAGCAGATGTGATATTTCAGTTGTGTAATAATTAAATTGGGAGTGGGGTAGGGGAATTCGACTGGGAAGAAAACTCAGGATTTCTGAACCCAAAAAAGAATAAAGGTATTCAAAAAAAATTAAACAGTATTATGTTCAATTTATACTCTTATGTAAAAATTCAATGGAGTGCTTCCCCCCAGGCTAAGAAAATAAAGTCTTAGGGGCGTATTCCTTGTTCCCAAAAGGTACACTGTTTAGTGTGAAAAAAATCAAATACATGTACATTCCAGAATATGTAACAAATGGGAGGAACAAATCAAATGCAGGAAAGAGAAGTTATCTTTTCATTTACATTACTTATTGTGAAGAATACTCCGAGTGCAATGTAAATGGACTGTTTCACTAGGCAGATCTACATGAACCTGAGCGGCTGGAGAGGGAGTGGAGTGAGTGGGGACAACTGAGAAGCCCACTTTTGAGAAGCCTCAGTCTATATGACAAACCCCTACTATTATCAATGGTAATAAGGAAAAGAAAACCTGCTGCAGGAAATTGTTTACTTTCAATTCCATCCAAACATTTACTGAGTGCCTGTTATGTACCCAGCACTATGCTAGGTGCTAGGAATACACGGATGGACAAGGTAGTTACAGTCCCTTACCAGCTGGAACGTAAAGGCTAGTGGGGAAAACAGCTTTAAACATTTCTTTTCAATCAGAGGCTTTGACCAACTAACCATAAGACCTAGAGCAGTGAGATCTGGAAAATGAGACCAATGCACTGGCTACCCCACAGGGTTATTAGAAAGCTCATAGAATAAAGTCTAGGAAAACAGTTTGTGAAGTCCAAACTGTTATACAATGGGAAGATAATCATCTATGATGGGTCAAAGGGGCCAACAAATGCTCAAATCCTAAGGAAGAGACAACAAGCACCCAAACCACCATGCTTCAACAATGAGAAGGTCAGCCAGAACATTCAGGTATATCAGAACGAGAAAAGGCTCTGGAGTCCCACAGACAGACCCTGCCACATGCTTAGCTGTGAGGTGGACCTATTTCCTTACTGTTTCTTCATCTGTAAATTGGAGATAAGAATTCCTATACCCCCTACCCCCAGTTGCTTTAAGGATTTGAATTTAGACACAATTTTAAAGCACCTAGTAAAATGTCTGACGTGTGTATGTCCTCAACGGTAACTGCTTTGCTTCAGAATGCCAAGATGAAAAAGCCCATTTTAGGGATAAGGGAACAAGTTAGGCTAATTGAGAAAGCTCTGGAGAAGCTAACGCTATGGTCAAAATTCAGAATCACACCTAAGAATTAACCATCCTGGCCGCTGACACAAAGTAATCGATCAGAAGCTGAGTCATGTTAAAATTAAAAAATGACATGCTACTTACTTCTATGTGTTCTTTACAGTATTCCAACCCAATGTCACTAAGTATTTTTTTCACAGTTTTCCGGGCTTTTCTTAAACTGCCAAGATTGTTGACAGGAAGTTGGAACATAGTTTCTATTGGAAAAAAAAATTTAAGTCAAGTCAAAACATGTACAACTTGTAATATTTACTAATTCCACTGATGGTAGGATCAAAAACCCTGGCCCAGTCTGACAAAAAAGGTGAATAGATATCTTTATTAGGTATGTTCTGAATACTTAAAGCAAGCAGGCAAAAATAAGTGCTCTCTGATCTTCTCTATTTTTAACAGGACATTTTATGTTATAGATTGGCAATGAGTCTAATCTGGTACAATTCTGATTAAACATTTGGTGATGAACTTTTAAAGTTGAGAATTAGGTTTAATAATACCAACGGATTATTTTAAAATCAAGTGTGAGTGTTTTTCTCCTTGTGATGTTGAACCTCTGAAAATAGAAAATGCTCACCACTTCAGCATCATTACCACATAATTCTGAGTGCCAGGGAAAAGCAGCTTTTGATGTGTGGGAACTATCCTGCACACTGCTATGGTATTCTTAAAGAAACAATCTTTAAAAGTTTCTGTATACTACTCAAGCTAAAGACACTAAATGGTTGTGTAACTTGCCCTTCAGTCAAGCACCATACCTGGACAAAGGCACTCACTTATGGTCACAGAATAAATGCTGAGATGGGGAAAACTGGGCTCTCAGCACCACAGCAAATAATGCTATTAAAAACACTGTTATAATTTTAGGGGATATTCTTGAAAAGAGTGTATGTGTGTGAGAGAATTGAAAAATTATTTAAATGACTTAATATATCGAAGAAATTTAGATCCACTTTCCTAAGTCCCTTAAAAACAAAGGTTGAGAAAATAAAACTGGCAAAACTTGGGTGGTTGAGACTTTGTATGGCTTCCAATGAGACTATACCTGTTTCTTATAAAACAGAGCAACAATTTATCAATCTAAATATTGCAAGATACAAAGCAGTTCTAAAAACTAAAAATGAAGGCAAAAACAAAAGCTAAAGCATCAGGAGTTGAAATTTAATACATGTAAATCTGCTTTTCTAATAAATAAGGGTTGTTTATAATACCACTCTATAATACCACTACCATTTATAAATCACAAAGTCAACTAATTCAAATGTAATATCACATTACCTCATTATTCTAATCCAAAAATTAATATTAACTGTGAAAAAAATGGAAAGAAAAAAGGGTGAAGCCGACCAAACAATAACTCCTAGAAATTATGAATCTGGATGTTACCAGAACGTAGAAGTCTCAAAATATTCTATATGAAAAACTAAAGTGTAATTGAGGCCGAAAGAGAAATGAATGTTACTGAGAAACACTTCGGCCTTCTCGTCTTCGTGATGGAACTCCTACTAGCTATGAAACATGACTGTGGTGTCCTCTGTACTCTCCGCCATCCAATAATCTGTTTAATATTTAGCTAACAGCAGATTTAGAAGTGACTTCTGATATAAATTCATGTGTGTTCAAAGTCAAATCTATTATTCCTTATGGAAATTTGATTGCTAAATTGTTTTAAATCACCAAAAAGATTTAAAACTTAAAACCAGAAAATTTTCTATCAGTTACTTAATAAAACATTTCCACAAACCAGGTCATCAAATGAAGAGCCCGAACATCAAAATGGATGAGAAGAGACTGTTTCTCTATTCACTTCATAAACTCCCTGTGGGCCAAAATCCGGCAGTTCCTTTGGAACTTCCCAAGTTAATCCTGCTTCACTTCAGAGCAGAGAGGTGCCCAGAAGGCAGCCATTACTGGTTTCCTCTGCCTCCTCAATAAGTAACTCAAAATTTCAGGAAAACAAATATATAAAGATCAGGAAATGTTGCTATCACTGAAGCTACCAGCCTATACAGAAAACATTCAAGGGAATCAAACTGCAGCTCAGGATAAAGGAAAACCCATTCTCCTATGGAAAATACCAGGCATTCTACGTGCATACCCACAGCTAATAAAGGCATCTGAAGACCTCCAAATGAAAGACCTCACTGCATGACAGGTATCTAATTTATCCACCTGCAGTTCTTAAGAAGTGAGTATGCTCAAAAGGGAGCTTCGTTACAAAAAAAGATTATAATTTATAAAAAGTGACATTTCTGCCATAGAGTAAATCTCTAGTTTACTTATTACTGAATAGACAGTCTCATAAATAAAAGTGACACTGCCTATTTGGAAAATGCTGTACAAAAAATGGTTCTTTGTTCCATGACTAGCAACTAGGAGGAATCCAAGATAAAGTTTACACTGAAAGATGCAGAATATTCTGAGTTAAGATTATAATAGTCTTCATGACATTTCTAATATGTCCCCTTCCCCAGACAGAGGTGCCCTCCATGTGATTGCTTATGGAGGCCATTTCTAAAATTTTGTTCATCTATAGCTGGAATAACACATTCATACGTGTTAGAATCCTCAAATGCATTTAAGATTTTTTTTTTTTTTTTTTTGCTTTAAATACTTTTCTTAGTATACGAGACAGGCACACAGTACCGGAATTTAAGCAAAGAAGGCTCCCTCATACTCCTAGCCTCCAGCCATGTAGCTCCCCTTCTCAGAAGGTGCCAGTTACCATTTCTTGTGTATTATTTCCTGAGCTTTTCTCTGTCCGTTAACAAGCCAAAGGTTCCTTAAAGCCTCCAACAAACTCTATCACAGTTAATGTTAGAATTATTATGGATGATAAGAAAAAGAACTCAAAGGCCCTAAGTATTTTTTTCAGCCTACTGCTTGTGGTTAAGAAACAACTTCAAATCAACAGCTGGCTCCAAGTTTCATTAATGTTTTCTATTTAATTCTTATTTAAATACTTTTAAGAATTACCCCTGCTCCTCCTCATCCCTCAACAGCCCTTTAAATTAGAAATCTGGACAAGGTGCCCGTACCTTAAGTGACTGAAGGGTAGGAAAAAGAGCAAACAGGAAATTGACTGCCTGAGATTAAGGACAGTTTCCTCACTTTTGAATAGAAAGAGAGGACAAAATATTTACAATCATTAATCTTAGGAAGGATAGGTTACAATAATGTCAAAAACTGTATAGAGATGGGCTTTGAAAGGAACAGAGGAATGGGCTTACTTTCCCTCCAGATTTGTTCCCAAGTGGCTAATCCTTTCTCTTGACCTTGGCTATCAGGATGGCCATTTTCACAAGGTCAGTACCATTACCCCAATACCAAGGAAGCACTCTTCCTTCAGCCAAACCATAAACCTCTTAACTCATGGCATAAAAATGGGAAAATATCCAATTTAATAGAACAGTACCATTTTCCTCTGTTCATTAATCACTTTCAGAGCATCAACACTTTGCCAGTCAATATACTAGGAATAGAGAGATGAACAGGACACAGTTCTTCCCCTTCAACAGTCCATCAATTCTAGGGGACAAGATCTAGAGCACACAGTAGGCACTAGATCGCTGAAGTAAAGAAGATACCTGTGTTGTTTTTTTGTTTTCTTTTTTTGGTCTGCTCAACTTCCTCCTGGAACCATTCCTGCCACTACTGATGTGCAGTCAGCTAGGAGGCCCTTCATCCATTATAGCAGACTGTACATGACTCAGGTCAACCAATTAAGAGTATTTTATCTTTGTAGACACTGATTAGTACAGAGTTGGACATGCGCCTCAACCAGGGCTGACAGTGATGCTGACAAGCAGTCAGGATCTGCCAGCACATGGAGAAAGCAGAGGAAGGGAAAAAGTCCTGCTGACACTGCTTAAGGTCCTCAATCCATCTGTGCCTGAAAGACAGCTCTCCTACCTCCGACTTTTCAGAAACAAGAGCAAACACATGATCATTTTTGTTTAAACTTTGGTTCATGTCACCTGTAACCAAAAGTCTTGGTAGACCTAAGAGGAAGTGCCTAAGAGGGGAGATGGGTAATTTTATGCAAAATAATTGTGAACTGGGTCTAGTAGGAAGAAGAGGAATTTGCCAGGAAGATGTAGTTATTTTGAAAGATGCTTTGGCCCCTGGTTTCATTAATCAAAAACAAAACACCATGGAAAGAGTCAAACACTTTCTAAATTCTAAAAGAATTTGGGAAAGCTCAGTGACCCATTAATAACAGAATTTCCAAATGCTTAACAACTGAAGTTAAGTAGCTTTCAGTAAGCATAACATCTGGTGAACTAGACTTAAATCATTAATTTTTCAGAATGATTTAAATTCACTGTTGAATGATTCAGCCACACTTCTTTTTTCCTAGCAATCTTTGCAAATTATACCCACACCTACTGATTGGGGCCAAAACATTAAAGTTTTACTAATCCTGGGCCAAACTACTACTCACATGCTTTCTTAAGAAAGCAAGAGTCAGATGACTGAAATAAAAATCTAAGATCTGTAGCCCTAGGCTACAGATGAACTTAATCTATGTATTACATATAAAAGATTGATCAGATCCGTGCACCTCTTTCCCCTCCAAAAATACTCTTTTACTCCAAATACCAAGGAGTAACATAAAGGAGAGAACCTGTCTCACGAGGAGACATATGTATGCCGAATCTGCACAGGGGAAGGATGACAACATCAATGACTGTGGACTTCACTGAAGCAGAAAGGTCATTAACTGGAAAATAGTTAAATCACTTATGAAAAAACAGCTCTGCTAAAAAGCTTGGATCTAGTCAGGTGTACTCAGGATCCTCTGGGTTAGGAAGATGGAGAGAAACTCAACAGATGACAGTACTGGTTTTAGCAGGCTCAACGCAAGGTCTGTAGGGCCCGACACACCAAGAGTCAACGGGGCTTGTCTGTATGTGGTAGTCTCTCTGCAAAACCACGGGATCAAAGATGGCAACATTTAGTCCCTGTTTTTAGAGGTAGAAAAAAAGCAGAAAAGCATTTACAACTGTGCCATCAGAGAATAAAACAAAACAACCATAAAACCCAAACTTAAACCTTTGACCAGGCACAGGTAATTAAGCCAAGAGGAAAAGAAAAAAGCAAGCCTCCAAATCAAACTTCTCCAGATTCTATTACTGTAAGTGTGGCTCTAGCATGGCATTTTCCAGTACACATTTCTTCATACTTTTACGTGCATCGTTAT